GAATAGAGAAGAGGGACTGGGTGGAAAAGACGCAAAAAATCAGGGGTTGAAATTGAAACATGGCAGGGTTCATCTGGAAAAACTGAAAATAATAGGGGTTAAAATTTGAAACCCTGGAATATTTTCTAGTCAACAACCAACTAGAAATTCTAGAAATTGGAGTAAATTGCTGAATCATTCACCACCTAGAGTGAGTATTAATGAACAGGGTGAGTTCCTCTACAAAACCTCTCAGACAATCTAGAACAATTTTTACTTTTTGCTCAGGATTTTGGAGGAAATTGCTATCGGGATTTCATTTTGGGTTGCCAGAGAATTTGGCAGTTTTGATCAGTAATTTTTCAAAATTTCTTCTAGAAAACAACTTCATCTAAGTTGGGATTGAAGCCTTGAACCATCAATTGAGCTAGAAATCAAAGGTATGGTTCAATTTTATTGATTTTTGGCCAGTCAGATGAGTTGCAAGAAACCGAGTTCAAACTGGGTTTCCAGGTAAGAAAGAAGGACTTAGGCAGCTGTTGGGTCCATGTTGAGTCAACTTAACCAAGCCAAGTTTGATTGGCTCAAACGGATGAACCAGCTTAACTAAGCCAGTTTGATTAGGCTTTTCGGTGGTTTTGGTTTGTCGAGCCTAGTTTAGTTCGGTTTAGGAATGTTTGGGCCTAGTTTAATCCAGTTCTGGGGGTTTTTGGCCCTATTCAGTCTAGTTTCGGGGGATTCTGGTTCATTTTAGCTTGGTACTAAAGCGTTTTGGTACAGTTCAACTTTGTTTAATGGTATCTGGGGTCAATTCAGACCAATTCGAGTTGGATCAGAGATATTTGATGTTGGTTCACTTTGATTTAAGGGTTTTTATGTAAAATTAGTTCATGTTCTGGTTCTTTTTTGGTTCGAGTATTACATAGTGAATCTTGAGATGCGTGCCAAAGTTTTAGTGTGAAACTACGGGCCGATTTAGGGAATTGAGTCTTTAGGTAGTTTAAGTTTCAAATCCGATTTTGATGTACGTCACTGTGGTTATATATACTCCAAGGAGACATGTTTCGGTAGCTGAGGGTACCTAAAGGTTCTGGTTTCGGCCAGTTCTATATTGTGAGTAATAATACTTTCTATATGCATGCATTTTGTTTCTGATTATTATTTATTTGTTTTGAAATGAGTTATTGGTTTTGCAAATTAAATTCTGGGATAGGTATTTGGTTTTGTTAAAAATTTCAGTGATCTTTTGAGTTGCTTGGTTTGATATAATGGGAGTTACTTGTTTTTCTTAAAATTTAATAATAGGAGTTGTTCCAGTTTCAATTCAACTAGACACGGTTGTGTTTGGGCACTATGTGCCTTGTATATATTCTAGTTCTGATTTTGACTTGACACTGACTCTGATTCTGATTTAGTACGAGATTCTGATACGTGATATGTGATATATTTGATATGTAGTATGTGCTGCTTCCGACATGATATGCTCTGTCATTAGATGACATTGTGGTTTTGATTCTAGTTATTTGATACTCCTAGATGTTTTTTTTTTTTTTTTTAGATATGTGAGGCATATATGTGTGATTTTTAGATATGTGCTCATTTGCTCACCATCAAGTATATGTTTTGACACATTCATGATGCATGTTCTAGCATGATTAGAGTTAGTATAATCATTCACTGAGTCTGTACTCATACCTTTCCCAATATTTTTTGGATCATAGTGTAAGTTTATCTCTTTGATGCATTTTCCCGCTCGAGCATGTGAGTTTCTAATGGGTTGTTGTCAATGTTCGAAGTTGTATTTCTTATATCACTTATATCTTAGAGTTGTTTCATTACTTGTCAGACTGGTTTCTTTTATATGAATTTTGGGTAATTTTATTAATTTATGTATTGTAAATGTAATTCTGTTTGAGATTTACTAGGATTGGGGAACTAGCTTCACTACTAGTGACGTGCCTAGTTGTGAGACGTGACATTACTACTCCCCACTTTCGTTCATGAATTTTTCAACAAAAATTTTTTTAAAAATGTGTTATAATTTTTTACCTCCTTTGTTTAATAATAATAAAGAGTTTGAAAATAAAATAATACTCATAATAAGAGTAACACAAGCAGATATTAGCTTTACATAAAAAAAAAAAAATCAAAATCTTACTTACACAGCTTTTAAATAAATTATAATTTTATTTAATAATTAGGAGTTCTTAAAAGAGTTGACTAAAATGATTATACTACATTAGTTTTGTAACATAAATTATATATTTTAGTATCAAATAATATATATATATATATATAATACCGGCCCGTTTTATAAAACTAACAAGTTCGGTTAAAATTTAAAAAGTCAAATCTGTTTAATAAATATATATTTTTGAGACTCGAACTTAATTTAATTAGTTAAATAAATCAGGCGTAACTCGGATTCGGCATAGGCCGTTCCCTGGGTTGTTTCCACTTCTGGATATCAAGAGAGCGATTAAATCAATATATAATGTCCTTGTAGTAATGCGAAAATTTACGAAAAGCGGCCCGCTGTTATCTTCAAGTACATCCGTCGGGGGAAATGCAAGTGAATTGTAAATTAATTTCTTATTTTACCGTTTAGAAATCACTGGCTTTATAATTAAATTAAAAAAAAAATGTAAAATAAAAGATAAGTCCAATAAGTTATTAGACAAACTTCTAATGAATAATCAAGTCTCCCTCACAATGTGTCAAAACGTTTTTACACTCTAAGAACCTCATTAATTCTCATAGGAATGATAGCCGTAGAACTTTTTTCTTCTCTAAACTTTTAATTTTGTGCTTTTAATATAGTGCAAGAAAATTATAAATTTTAAATTAGAGACTGCAAAAATTGAAGAAAAAGAAAATCTAAATCTATCTTGTTCTGCCATGAGGGAAAAGAAATTTCACGGGGACTTTTATACGTGTCTGCAGAAAAAGTAAGAACAAGAAATTAAAAGATTAAGAAGAAAATAAAATATTAAACAATGGTAGAAAGCCAAGACCAAAAGATCACAGAATAGAGTTGCACCCCTGTGGACTGCAATCCAATGTTTTCATAAACAAAGCAGAGATTGGAGAAGAAGCAGATTGGTTGACGTTTCTTGAGATGATTCATTTCTCAGTAATTTCCCAAGCCGACCAGAAGAAATAACATTGCCAAGTGTATAGCGTCAATGTCAACAAATTAATTATTTATAGCAGAACCATTGACAAGCTTTGTCAACCAAATGCATCTGGACCTTTCTTATCTGCCTATCTCCGCAAATCGCAAATCCCAAATCCGCAGTCCCTTCCTCCATCTCCCTCTGTAGCAAAACGGATCTAAGTAACGAGATGCATAGTGGGTATAACAGAGATACGGTGAAATCACCACGAAGACACATGTTCAATTGCGGGGATGAAGGTGCAGGTTCCGCAGATCCGCCTCATGGATTCTGCCGGCAATTTTCACTAGCTGAGATGCAAGCTGCAACCGACAATTTCGATGATACTTTGCTTATTGGAAAAGGTGGATTTGGCAAGGTCTATAAAGGATTCATCGATGGTGGAGCTGCAACTGTTGCCATAAAGCGTTTGAATGCAGAGTCCAAGCAAGGGGCTGAGGAGTTTTGGGCTGAGGTCAAGGCGCTTTCCAAGCTCCGACACCCTCATCTTGTCTCTCTTGTGGGCTATGCCGATGAGTTCCAAGAGATGATACTTGTTTATGACTACCTCGTAAATGGAAATCTCGCTGATCATCTCTATAAGTTTAGTAGAAAAGGAATGGAAGTTGATAATCTCACTTGGGAACAAAGGCTCAATATTTGCATTGGCGCAGCTCGGGGATTGGACTATCTCCACACAAATAACAAGCAAAGTGTCATACACAGGGACGTAAAGAGTACAAACATTCTGTTAGATGATAATTGGATGCCAAGGATTTCAGATTTTGGGTTGTCCAAAATCAGCATCACAAGTCATTCGCAATCTCATATTAGCACTGAGGTTAGAGGCACTTTTGGGTATTTGGATCCCGAGTATTTCTTGACCCGTAGACTAACTATGAAATCTGATGTTTATGCCTTTGGTGTGGTATTGCTCGAGGTGTTATGTGGGAGGCCAGCAGTAGATTTAAGATATGATGATGATGATGACAGGTCTAGTCTTGCACTATGGGCTCAGCGGTGTATCAAAAAGGGAGCCCTTAACAAAATTGTTGACCCCTCGTTAAAGGGCCAAATATCGCCATATAGTCTCAAGTTGTTTGGGAAATTGCTGGCAAATGTATACACAGTCATCCTAGAGGAAGACCTACTATGGCCGAAGTGGTGGGAAGCCTTGAGCTCGTCTTGGCTTCAGAGCAAAACCCACCTCAATGCAAGGAAATGATAACCAAGCTAGTTTCCAGTATTTCCCGCCTTGTAGCCAAAGGTATTCAAGTGATGGGGCAAAGCAAGTGGAGAGAACACTATCCAAAAACTGGACTACCATTGTATTTGAAGAAAGATCCTTTTGCAGATATTGACCTTAAATTGTTTCGTCATTTTTCATTATCAGAAATTCGAGTAGCAACTAACAATTTTTATGAGCAGCAAATAGTGGGTCACAATTCTTACTGCAATGTATACAAAGGCTTCATAAACGAGGAAAATCTTGAAGTAGCAGTTAAAAGGTGGAAAGGGGAAGCAAGCAAAAGAGAATTGGAGTTGTTCAAGGTGGAAGTCCAAGTACAAGCCTAGCTTTGTCACTTACATGTTGTTTCCTTGATTGGATACAACTGCAAAAAGGATGAGCTGATCTTGGTGTACGAGTTCATGCATTGTGGTTTCCTCTAGCACAATCTCTATACAGTGAAAAAAGATTCTCTTCCATGGAAAAAACGTCTTGAGATTGGCATAGGTGTGGCACGAGGATTGCATTACCTCCACTCCGGTACAAAGCAAACCATCATTCACCAAAACCTCAATGCTAGTAGCATTCTATTAGATGAGAATTGGGTGGCAAAAGTTTCAGGGCTTGAGTTTTCCACAATGATGCCCACCAATGTCTCCATCACAGGCCCGAAAAACCTTGTCCAATGCAAGGTTGGATATTTGGATCCAGAATACATTGAAAGTGGAATGTTAACTATAAAATCAGATGTATACTCATTTGGGGTTATCTTACTGGAATTATTATGTGGTAGAAAGCCAATGATTATTTCTCAAGATGAGGATGAGGTGAATTTAGTCCGTTGGTTCAAGACTAATTTGGAAATGGGCATGGTGGATGAGATCTTCGATCCATGCCTAACTGACAAAATAGCACCGGAATGTTTGAGTGAATATGTGAAGATTGTAGCCAATTGCGTGAAGGATGAAGGAGTCGAACGGCCAACAATTGAGGATGTTCTGGGAAGCCTCAAGTATGCCTTGCAGCTGCAGCAAAATTGGGAGTATTTTAAAGAGTTAGTGTAATGAAATTGACAAAAACAAGGAAGATGTTGGAGGAGTGAGTTTTGTGAGCATAGAAAATTCTGATTATTTTTCTGCTTATCTTGTTCGTTAGCAAATCCATGGAAACAGAACCTTGTAATCTTCGGCACAAATGTCAAAGTTTTGATTGTTTCAAATTGAGGCTAAAATAGAGCAATTGAATATCATTTCATCCACATTTCTCAGCAGGTAAATATATAAAAAATAATATAATACATTATTTGGGAATAGATGATCTCCGAGAACTCAATGATGCTTGTAAACCAAGCAATAAACTAAGTTTGAAAAGTATGAGGATTGTAAACCAGGCGGCGTGTGTGGAAAAATTTATATTGATATTAATAATTTTTTTAGTAAAATGCCTGTTTACAAAATTATTTATCAAAATAAATTAAAAATTGTTTATGCTGAGAAATCATGTCACGGAGATTTTGGATTTCTAATTAATCATTGATCATTAAATAACTTTGTGTATTTTTAAATTGATCATTAAATAAAATTTAAGATTTTGGATTTGGGACTATGAGTTAAGAGGTTTATGGCCTAGGGTTGAGATCTTCAAGTTGGAGTTTAGGGCATGGGTCAAGGGTTACAGATAGGGGTGAGCATAAACCGCTTAATCAGCCCCACCTACCTAACTCGTCGTAACCTACCTACAACCCGCCGGTTTAATATAATATTTTTTTTCTTAACAGTTTATAATTTTACAACCTGCTTATCATGTGGTCGGGTGGCGGTTTAAGATTTTAAAAACCCGCCACCACCCAACTTGTCTGCTAATATATATAAATATATATATATTATTTATTTATTTATTTATTATTATCATTTATTCTCTATCAATCCTAATTTTTCTTATTTATTAACTCACTTATCAAAGTGCTCAGGGTTAGAAAATAAAATCTTCCATTGAGAAAAAATACTTAGTATTAAAAGAAATAAAATCATAATCTAAGAATTTTCAAAATAATAAAAACTTTTTCATTCTAATTAAAATATGAATATAATAAAGCAAAATTAGGTATAATAAATAATATATTTATTCATTATTGGAAATATGTTGTAATAATATATTTATTCTGAACACCTTAAATATTTTTTTTATATTGGAAATGATCACACAAATATATTTAAAGAATGTATAATTAAGTTTTTTTATTTTTTTTACTTTATACAATAATTTTGTTGAGCTTAGTTAATGTTTTTTTTATTTAAACTTGACAACAATAATTTATTTTTTATTTAATTAAAGATATTAATTGGAAGTGGTCATGTGGAATTTACTTTCTATTTCTTTTAATTTTGTTTCACTTTATAATGGAAAAGTCTTGTTTTTATATTATTTGATTCTTAGGATTCAAGTAGTACAAAATTATATTAATTTTTATTAAATTGACTTCTTTTAAGTTATATATTTGTTAAATTTTATCTCTTACATGTACCAACCCTCCAATTCGCCTGCTAATCTGTCCGCATTTAACTAAGCTGAACCGCACAGTTTGAAACAAAAATAAGATAAATTCAATTTTACTTTTTAACCACTCGCCCACATCGGGTCGTATTAATTTTTGAACACCAACCCGTCCAAACTCACCCGAGCTCACCCCTAGTTACAGATCATTAAATAAAATTGTGTATTTTTAAATTGATCGTGAAACACGCATTTGGATAAATTTTTTTATCAACATGTACTATTGCGTGTGTGAGATGAGAACTACCTGGTGTATGGCGTCATGGGAATGATTTTTATATTTGCAAAGTCAATGAAAAGGTTATTCAATTTAACAGTTTTAGGACGGGAGTAAGTGCAGTTAAATTTCCTGGGTTTAGTCAACATTACGCAGCAGTATTTGTTCCAAAAAGCTTTTGAATTTTAAACTTATGATTTTTTTCCATTTTCCATTTTCCATTTTCCATTTTAAAATAACCCCTAATTTAATCTGAGTACACAAATTTTTGATCATTCGCATTGTGCAAAAATATCAATTATTTTGAGATATATTGGGGGTTGGGAAAGGGAAGAATCAAGAATCGAAAATTCTAATTTGTATATAAATTTTATAAGGTTTTATTACTTAAGTTTTGGATTCAAAATATTTAACCCCTTCGGCGCAATTGGAAGGACACTAAACATAAATACTAACTATATAAAATTGAGAGTGCTAAATTATTACTTTTGTTTTCTTTTTTTGTTTTAAAAAATTTATTTACCTCCACAAAAAGAGAAATCATAAAAATTTTAAAAATCTTTCTAGTTTAAAAAGTTATAATAATCATAGATTGTATTAATATTTTATATATTTTCACTTGTTAAGAAATGTTAACGAAACGAAATGCAATTGCTCTGTCCTAATCTCCATTTCGAACAATCAGAACTTTGACATTCATTCAAAAAAAATTGCAAGCTTCTTGCCCTTGGAAGCACATGGCATGATAGCAATTCAGAATGACGAAGTGCCCATCAACTGGCCAAGGCCTGTTTGTTTCCGGATGAAATCAAATGCAAAATATAATATTTGAAGTAAACGAAAAAAAAAAGAGTTAACTACCAAACTAGTCCTCCAAAAATATGCTAGCCATCAAAATAGTCCCTCAAACAATTTTTCCCTCAAAATAGTCCAAACTCTCCCACTCCGTCAATCAATTGGCTCCTGCCGTGAACGTTGCTTCCAAATTGGTCACGCAAGTTGAATTGTGTCCCACGGTAGCATGGAAAATTTGAGGTGGCTACTGACATGAGCAGATTGATTGAGAAGAGGACCTTGCCAGATCGATTGAAGACAAGAGCAACAGGCCAAAGTCATTCGCATGCCCTAGCCAAATCGATTAGAGAAGAGGACCTAGCCAGATTGATTGAAGACAAGAAACAGATTTACACTCCCATTCGCATGCCCTAGCCAGAGTAAATTTTAGAGGATTAAGCGATAATGAGTTTCGTTTCACAATCACATTCCTCTTGCTGTCATCGTCAAAACCAGGGCTCACATGGTGGTCACAATTCAACATCTAGCCAAGGAAATTTGCTCTATTGCAATTCGACTCCGACAATCAATTGTGGGTGTGGATGGAGAGCCCTGCTGCTAACATCAAGCATGGATGCAAACCCAAGTCGTGCATTTTACAGGTGCCCATTTTGGAGGGTAAGTTGAATTGAATTCTAGCATGGTCTTTCTAACCCTTTACACACCAGTGATTGATGTTGATGATTTTGGGCGCATTTTGGAAGTTAATGCACATATATACTGCACAATGTTGTAAAATATACTGCACATATAAGATTATCTGCAGCTAGCCCTACAGCCAAAGCTAAAGGAGAGACCCCAAGAGCTTCAGAGATAGCAACGTAATTGACAGTTATCATGGTGCCAAACTCGTAAAAGAAACTAAGAGCCTTAGAATTATTAGACATGATAACTAAGAGCCTTGGAATTATTTCAGTTCATCGGCTTATCTGGTTCTATGCCTTTACTTGGTTCTCTGTAATTTATATCACTGGAATGTGATAGGAAAAAAGTGCAAATTTTGATGTTCGAACTTAATTTTGATATTCGAACTTCTCCATTTAGGATATTGGTGGTCTTCCTATTTATGTTGTGTCAAGTTTAATATTATATGAGCTATTGATTCATAAATTAAATTCAGCAAATTGATTGCAATTGTAGGTACCCGAAAGGTGTTGTGGTTACTTCGAATGGGTGGATGACAGTGGAAATTTTTCACACAATCAGCATGACAAAATATTTCAAGGTCAACTGAAATTTGTATGTACACTGTACGAGAAAGAGCTGTGCAGAGTTAGATTTGCCAGGAACATTTTTCCTATTTTAGTGGTGGTTTTGGTTGGGGTTATATGGGTGATGTTGTGACAATGTGAAGCCACGTATTAGTATTGTTAGGTCAAGGAAGATAGGTTGATAATGTTTTGGGGTTTTAGTTGTAATATTGACTAGAGCAAATGTTGTAATTTTGAATTTGAATGTTTAATATGAAGTTAAATTTTGTGAAATAGCTTTTGAAATGGCTTGGTTTGCTTTCTGAAATGGAGTTATGTTGCCTAGTTGCCTTCTGTTGCATTATGACTTTGATGCCTTGTGGGTTTGCTTGCTGTTTTTGCTTAGTCTGATGGTTTTGACCATGTTGGTGATGCTTCGTCTAGTCGGTTTTGACTGTGTTGATCATGTTGCAATTCGGCAGCCATGTTGGTGATACTTAGTCTGATTGGCTATGAGCTGTCTGTGTGTGACAGCAACCATGGCAGCAGCCATTGCCCAAATATCTCTTTGTCCAATTGTCTCTGTCATATTCTCTCACACGTGCATCTTTTGAATTTGAATATCAGTAAATAGTCTAATGGGGTTATTTTTCTTGTTAGATGATTAATAAGAAACCACAAGTGATACAAGAGTATGAATCTGGAAAGAAGTTCAGTTTTGTTCAGCTGACAAGAAGTAAGCAGGAAAGTAAATTTAGTTTGATCATTGTCTCCTTCAGTCTTGTTCTTGGTCTTAGTTCCACCTTTCCTCCTACAAAGTAAATGTCTTGTCTGTTTGTCAAACATTTTGATCTGCCAATTATCCTTGTTTTGTCATTGTTCACACAGAAACTGCTGTAAACTCAGAGAGTGAATCTGAGGAAGCAAAATGTCCTGGTACAACAAATCCCCGGGATGCTGATGGCCAGTGAATTTAAGAAGAGAAAAGAAGGTTATATGTCATAATTAATCCAATTAATGTTAATCAGATTTGCATGCATATATGGAATACCGAATAGTTTCTAGGTTATAAAATTGACTTAGTAACTAAAACTAACTGCTTTAAAAAATACAAGGAAACCAGGAAGGCAAGAACTACGGGACCAATTAGAATTTACTGTACCATGTTTCAGTTTAAATCAAATATTGCCAGAGTTGGACATCTTTTGTTTTTCCCTAATGATTTTCTCCTTGCACGTCAAGAAGGCAAAATTGTTTACTCTTATATCGA